AATGAAAAATATTTTCTACATATTCAGTATGGACACAAATTTTTGGAATATTTTCAATCATTGGCTGGTTGGCTCCTAGCGTGGAACCCACAGCTCTAGAGGCTGATGGTCTGAGAAACTTTCCTTTGCCAATTTAATGTTTACCTTTCATGGTCTTTTCTTCAAGTTGTGATGGACAATATGGAATTAGGAAATAATACCAGGAAGGTGAGAGGGCGAGCTCGCCATTCTCCACCAATTCCTGGGGGCTGCCAGGGAGAGCAGGAAGGATGGAGAGGGTTGTGTCCACAAGACCTCTGTGCATGGGGCTTTCGTGGGTCAAGGAATGACTGTGTAGTGACATCATTCCCAGAGCCAAGGTGCAGAACCACCCTAGGGGCCCATCTGTGGAGGAATAAAGAAAAATACGGTATATCCGCATAGTGAATATTATTTAGCCACAAAAGAAGAATGGAATTCTTTGACACATAGCGAAATGGGTGGAGCCGGGGGACCTGATGTTAACTGAAATGAGCAGATCCAGAAAGACAGCTACTGCATGTTCTCTCTCATGTGTGGAAACTAAAAAGGAGAGAGAGGGAGAAAAAAAAAAAAGCTGACCTGATGTTGAATACTGATTAGAGTTTGAGAAGCAGGTGGATAAAGGGAGGTTGATTTGCTCAGTGCACACTGGATACATGTACCATAAATCACACTGAGCCCCATTAATATGTGTAATTAATACATTAATCAAAAATGTATGTAACCCCCAAGGAATTATTCCGAATGGGGGATGTACAGGGAACCTCAGCAGGAAGGAACATCGGGCTCAGTGTCAGCCTGATTGAAGTGCCTCCTAAGGAGCCTGTGCTCAGGAATCTGACCCGGGGAACAAGCCCACGAATGCTGAAGTTGGCGGCTCTCCATGCCGAATCCCCTCCTGGAGACCCACAGTGCTCTGAGAGCGGGGCTGTAGAGAGCTCTGCTGTTCCTGCTTCTTCCAGTGGTTGCCAGGACAATGCATGCAGAGGCCCTTATGTAACGTGACTCTTAGCCTCTCATGACTTCTAGCATCTGTGTGGAACGGGCTCCAACAGGAGGAGGCTGTAGGAAGACAGAGCTGTCCCTTATGCTGGGCTGAAAGTAAACAGTTGGTGCTGTTAATGGAGGAGTCTCCTGGGAAGGTGGAGGCCCTCTTTTTTGTTCAGGAGTCTGTGACGGATGCTGCACCCCACTTCCGAGAGGGGCTGGGTGATGGAGGTTCTGCCATTAGAAACCCAATGGCCCTTCCTTACACTGGAGCTGACTCGTCAGACAAGCAGATTTAGAGGTCACACCCGGGGTGAGCGGCTGGGCCCAGGTGGCCTGGGACTCCTCTGTTTAGTCCTGAAGTCCTGCTTCTCAGGATCCCCTCAGCCCGGAGCAGACAGGTCTTCTCCCAAATTTGCAAAGAAAAAAAGAGTGTTTTTCATTCTTCATAAATATTAAGTGATGTTGAAATGGTTTTGAGTGGAAGAGCATATTTCAAGTTTGTAAAGATAGTTATTGAACATTCAAATTCTACTAGGAAATAGAGTTTTCATCAGGGAATTGTTACTGGGAGATACAGATTTTCTTGAGCTTCTTTTATGGAGAAGCTTGTTTTCCAGTTCTGTTCATGATGGCTTGTCTACTGGGAAATGCATTTGCTGCATCAAGCAGTTATTGGATGCCTTTCCTTTAGTCTAAGCCTCATTATTTTCCCTGTGTGGTGATGAGACAAGATACTGCTCTGTATTCCTATTAATGAGCGACCTCACAAAGTTTGTAACATTAACTTTGATCCAAGTATTTGTAACAGTGCCTGCGTTGCTTTTGAGCTGTGGCTTGTGGCTGAAATAAACTTAAACTTAAAATGATAGGGGAATAATCTTAAATTTATTTCTGATCAACTCTGCAACTTAAGCCTTGTTATTTCAGTAAAAGTGAGGTGTACAGGATACTAAACTCCACTCTTACTGTGTGTGTGTGTGTGTGTGTGTGTGTGTGTGTGTGAGAGAGAGAGAACACGTCCTGCCACTAGGGGGCAGTATCCCCGAGACCAGTGCACGTCTTCACAGCTGTGTGGTTAGGATGGGTGGGACTTGGAGATCCAGGAGTTTGCAAAGTATTATGCCCTGAAGGTTTGGAAGCGTCCCTGCAGGGAGTGAGCCTGCTTCTGGACTGCTTGTCAGCCTTAAGGGAGTCTCTTTCCTGGCTAAGCCTCTTCATGTGAAACCAGGGAGTTGAACAAGATTAACTCCAAACTCATTTCTGATTCTAATTTCTGCAGAACCCAACCTTGTCTAAAAGCAGCTTGGGATAAAGGTCTTTTGAGGGCGTGGGGTAGAATCCCATTTTGCTTCTTTCCAGCCAAGCTCATGTTTCAGTTGCCTCCGCATAATTCTCTTTCCTTGCTTGGGTGGTTGATTGTGTTTCCTACAAACTCATTCCTGAGTTAGAAGCTTGTTACTTCCGAGGGCATGGTCTAGAGTCCTGCCTGGTTCACACCTAGGGCCCAGGGGAATGCCTGGCAGCTGCTTTCATTCTCTGCTGTTGGTTTTTCTAAGAAGCTCAGCTGTGTCACATTTAAAAATCACAGCTGTCCTCCTCTGGAAGGGAAGGGCTTTTCTCTGGGTGCTGGCAGTTCATCACCACAACTCATACTCTAAGCACTCTGTCTCTGAATAAACTTTCACCCATTTTTAGGAATGAAAAAAAAAAAGTCAAGCGTCAGAGAAGATAAGTTCTTGAAAACTGATGGCTTCCAGATAATGTCAGATGTGATTGCAAGAAAAATGGTATAAAATGTAGATTAACATAAATCTATAACTGCTCAACTTGATGAAAATTATCACCACAAGATCCTTCCATTACTGAACCAACTGATATGGCTTTTCCCCCCTATGACATTTTGTGAGAATGAATAAATTATCTGAGAATGTGTTTGCATCAGAAATATAGAATTTTTTTAATAAACACATAAATCATCCAAACATTTTTCCAGTAAGATGCCAGATCCTAAAAATGGGAAGTATCCTGTTAACTTCTCCCCCTCCAGCTTCCTCCTTGTGTAGCAGCTTAGAGCTCCAGGCAGGAGTGCAGAACCATCCACTACATAAAGACTAGGATTCCCCCTGAAGGAGGCTGCTGGTGGCCTCCTCTCAGGCCCAGCAAGCCTCGGCTGCCTGAGCCTGGTTTGTGCTGAGGTCCTCTCTGTAGTTATGACCTCATGTTACACAGGGGTTTACTTTAATAAACAATTTTTTTTTTGTAGCTGTGATCTACACCAGCACGCTGTACACAGTAGGCAGCATTAATATAATCCTGAGAGATACGTCCTGTTGCTTTCCCTAAGGAACTGGTTTGCTTTTTGTTACAGGAAATTAATAACACATAAAGGAGCTTGATTTCCTTTTTGCTCATGCTACCAGGAAGCTTACAAGCCAACTAGCAATTTGATTTTCATGGAATTTAGCAGTGGGTATCTGACAATCCTACGTTTTATGTTAATCATATCATCTAAGTAGATTTCCCCTAAGATTCTAATGCTCCTCTCTCTTATTGTTCAAGTTTTTATTAACTACTCCAATACTTTTGTGAACTCAAGTGAAGTGTAGATAAGCACCTAGATGGAGAAATAAGGAGTCATGTGGATATGTGAATAATGGCTGAATAAACTTTTGAGCTGAAGAAGCAAGGACATCGTCCTCAGAGAATTATAAGAAGATAGCACAATCATGCAGTCCTTTCTCATTGGTTTCTCCCAAGACCCTTTTCTCATTGAAAGCCTACAAGCATACCGTTACGACCCTGGACATTATTGTGACCCTCTGGGCTCCTGGTCCCTTTCTCTGACAAGAGGAGTGAAAATACCTTTTCTGAGAAGGAAAATGCATCAGTCAATGGAGCTGAGTCCTAACTCTGTGTGCATGGAAGCTAAAGCTGTGTGCATGGAAGTCCTTTTAAGGACTAGAGACGTACAGGGGGATCCCACCTCCTCAGGGAGGTCCCTGCAGCGGGCTGTCAGCAGGCCCTGCCCAAGGCACAGATGGAGAGGAGGAAAGCCTGGCTCAGAGAGGCTGGTGTCTAATTAGGGCCCCACAGTGGGGAGCAGCAGAGCCTGGGTTCTTTCCTTGCTTGTGCACCCTGCTCCCTGCTGTGAGCATCCCCCACTTCCCCTTGCAGGACCCCTCTGCCTCCACCCTGCTCTCTGCCCGGACACTGACCATCAGGGACACACAGGCTGTGCCACCCTCTCATTCTGGTTGAGTTCAGCCATTGGGAAGCTCCCACAGGACCGTCCCTTCATTCCTTTGGGTCTGGGTGGTGACAGGAAGTAGCTCCTTTGTACTCTGACCTGACTGAGTGTGCGATCTCCTGCTGGGACCCTAACTGTGACATGGTCTCATTAAGGAAAAGGTGGCACCAGCAAGACACCACAGAACACAGGATCAGACACAAGAGGAGAGGGATAGGTTTCAGTACTGGGGAGTGCGCGGGAGGGTGAGAGAGGCTCTGTGATGGCCCCGTCCCAGCAGCCCTGCCCAGCCAGACTTCACTGGTGCTTCCTGCACGGGTGAAATGGATCATGTCCTTTCAGGCTGGGACCTGCATTTTCATCTTCAAATTGAACTGTTTGTCCTGAATATTTAAAATCTGCTTCATGTTAATTTATCAACATTTTACATAGATTTCTATTTTGTGATTTTGCTGGGTATGTGGCTATAGAAACCACAGAGTTATGTATTTAAATGTAATCCATGTGTTTGAAAACAATCCGTCTCTCATTAGGCAGCAAAATATGGATTTTGTCAATTTCTCTGTCCATGGGCAACACAGTGAAGAGGCACAAGCCTGCCTGACTCTACACGAGGTATTTCCTGAAGGGTAATTCGGTAGATCACCTTGTGAAAGGTTCCCCACTGCCACCACCAACAACAAAAGATCTTAGAAATAAAGTAGACGTTCTCACACTTGGATCTTCTGTGCCATGACTTTACCTCTGGTGTGGAGTCTTCTCATGTCCTTGGAAACGGCTCTGTCTACCTGTAGAAGACAATATGACACCATTATCACTCCGATGTCACCTAGCATCCCCTGCTCTCTGTGAGTGGAACCCAGAGACAAATGCGCAAGTCCCAATGCACTGGGTGCAGGATGCCTGTGGCAGCCAGGGAGGGACATGCAGAATGTGCACTGCCACGGGGAAGGGCGCAGTGGCTCCAATGGTACTTGTCATTAACTCTTGGGTTTGGATTCCTTGGAAAATTGGGAATGGAACCACCATTTGACCCAGCTATCCCACTCCTTGGTCTATACCCAAAGGGCTTAAAAAGAGGTTAGAAGTGGTGGTGGAATGTGATGAACATTACTATCCAAAGTACATGTGTGAAGAGACGAATTGGTGTGAATATACTATGTATACAACTGGAGATATGAAAAATTGTGCTCTGTATGTGTAAAAAGAATTGTAATGCATTCTGCTGTCATATATAAATAAAAATAAAAGGAAAAAAAAGACTCTGAGGCCGGTTTGCACCATGGCATTAATATGAAGATCCGGCCACCTATCAGCACGGGGAAGCCATGGAGCAGGGGATGAAACCGTGGCCCGTAAGCTCTGGCTGGTCTCGGATGCTGCCTCCACCAGTGCTGGCTGTGACAACACAGGTCACTCCCCCTGCGGAGCCTGTTTCCTCATCTGTGAAATGGAGGTAACAGGAGGACAGCGTCCTTGTGAGGACCGGAGGGGATGTGGCACCATGTGCAATGTGCCTGGAGGGTAAGGTGTCGCCGTCACACTGCACTCCACCAGCGTCCTTAGTCCTTATTGACGTCACAGACTGTTGCGCAGGAGCCCTGGCCGCAGGGAGTGGCAGGTGAGGATGCTGTCCTTAGGCGCCAGCTCTCTGCCTGCCTTGGCCCAGACCAGCAGTGCACCGGGTTGAGGTGGTCACAGTGGATGCTGTGCTGCTGGTCAGTCTGACCCGGCTGAGCGCTGGCTGGAAGTTCTTGTGACTCGGCCTCCTATGCCGGCCAGCAGCCTCGGCTCCGCTGGAGTGACCCGTGGGGACCCGTGTGCTGGAGGGTCAGTAGTGTTCTTGGTGCACCTCACTCCTGGGTGCCTGCCCCACGGGGAGGGTCTGCCCAGTGTCTTCAGCCCACCCCTTCCTGGCCTGCTGTGGACGCAGGGAGGTGCTCTGATGTCCCATTGCAGACCAGGCTCAGGATGCCAGGGGCTCAGCAGGGGCTTCCTCAGGCCCCCCAGGGCTCCTGCTCTTTGGCCTCAGAGCTAAATTCTGCTTGGTGTCTTCGGTGGACCTTCTGTAGGAGTTTCTCGTGTCTCCCCCAGGACAGGTGCCTCTGGTGGTATCAGCACCCAGGAAAGCTTCCCGTTGGACTTCTGGCATTTTCCATCAACTCCGGGTTTCCTGGTGCCTCCTGTGTGCCCGCAACAGTGCTGGGTCTTGAGGGCACACGTCCCCACGGGTTTACAGGTTCCTCAGCCTCAGCTCGGTTGAGATGTGGGGCTTGGTAACTCTTTGCTCTCTCTCTCTCTCTCTCTCTCTCTCTCTCTCTCTCTCTGTGTGTGTGTGTGTGTGTGTCTCCTGTGTCCTGGCCAAGGCTTAGCAGCCCCTCATCCTCACCCACTAGACGTCAGAACAACACTGGAACAACCCAGAAGTCTGCTCTTTGCCAAAGGCCCTGGAAGGCAGCGTCTCCAGCCAGAGGCACTGATGACCTTGCCTTAGAGGGTGTGGGACTGCTCTGCTCGGCCAGGGCCTATGCAGAGGCCACTGCCAGCAGCTCAGCCAGGCAGCTGGGTGCTCTCTGCCTCCGGTGCTGGCCTCGATCCTAGCCCTTCCCATGGCATGGAGACTGCCCACGGGGCTGGCTGCCTCCTTTGCTAGATGGAGGGCACTAGCTCATCTTGATCCTCCCACCACCAAGCACAGTGCTTGGTTCACAGTAAGTGCCCCCCAGACAGCAGCAGTCTGGGACAAGACTGTCGCAGCCACCCCAGGAGTGGAGACAAGAACTGGCCTCTGTAGGAGCTATCGATGATGATCCGTTTCACAGATAGTTTAATCTCAACATGAAAGTACAAAAGAAGACTCAGCCCCTGGAAATGAGGTGGTAATGAAAAGATAATCTGCTTATCATGAGAACTTTGATGAGTCAAACAGTAATTATAGAAGTAAAACTCTCTCTTTATCTGAATGGAGGTTGAGACCTTGTTTAACTTAGAAGACAGCCTCCCTCCTGGCCTCGTTTTCCCCCCTTCCTCTCCAGCCCTTTTCTCCTTCTCCCACCATCTCCCTTGACTTCATGGAGTGAGACTGTGGCTCCACCTGCAAAGTGACCTTGCTAGAGGAAGAGGTTTGTTGGAATTGGAAGCTACGAAGATGACAGGAAGGAACGTAAAGTATTGAGAACAGAGTCTTAAATTTTGACAGTTGTTTTAGAAAGTCAAGTGAGGATTATTTTTCCTAAGCAGCAACAACAAAAATTCCACCCGCCGAGGGCTCACCTTTGTGTACACGGGATGGTCAAGGGCTTAGGTAAGGAAACTGAGCGCGTCCACTCCTGCACAGTGGGGCCAGGACTGTGGTCAGCCACGGGTCCCACCACTGTGGAGCTCTTTCTTCCCCAGACATGGGCTGTGCTTTACCAGAGTGTCCTGACGCCCTCCTGCCTGTCAACCTCCCCCCTCCCCCCCGTGGACCTGCCCCAGGTTCAGATCCTGCTGATGGTTGAGAACAGGGGTAGAAAAGTGGGGAACCTTGAAGACCAGACTGAGAAAATGCTCTTGGGAACAGACAGCAATATTGGCAGAGACTGGACTCTTCTTCCTGTGGAACAGCCTCCATTCTCCAAGATTCGGTTCAGATGAGGACTGTTCATTTTCATCCACTTAGCCAGGATCTATGGAGAACCACTCACAGTGTGGCAACCTGCCAGGGGCTGGGCCAAAAGTGGCCCTGACCGTGATACCTCAGAGAAGGTGAGCAGCTGTCCAGAAGGCATGCAGCTTGTAAGATCGCCACTGTTCAATGATAATGTTCGTTTGCAAGGTTATTTTAAGGATTATGCATCATTCATTCATTTAGTCTGATCTCTATTGAGGAAGGCTTTCCTTGAGGTCCTTTATCCTTCCTCAGTGATGTTTTCAAAGCATGCTGCCCTTGCCACAGAGCCTATCCATCACTCATTTCTTATGACGCCCCCTCCCCCTGGCATGTAAGTTTCATGAGCGCAGGATCCGGTGTTCACTGTCCCTGGTCTGTGATCACAGGTGCCCCCAGCAGGCTGAAGAGCTCTGGAGTGGACATGTCCAGGGAAGGCGTGTCTTTGCTGCTGCTGTGCAGAACCGGGAGCAGGCCCCTCATGTCTCTTGCTGTCTCATTGGATAGGTTCTGAGAAGTGGCATGGTTTGGCACAATGTGTACCTTCCTTTTCTTCTCTGTCGAGATTTGAATGTTTGTCCCTCTGAAGCTTGGGGTGGAATTGAATTGCCATGAGAGTAGTCTTTAAGAGATCATTAGGAGGTGATTGAGCTGTGTGGGCTCCGCCCTCCTGGGTGGACTCAGGCCTTGTCTTGGGAGTGGGTTTGTCATCATGGGGTGAGGTCATTACAGAAAGGGGACTGTGGCCCCCTTCTCTTTCTCCCTCCACTGCACCCCCCTTTTGCCCTTCCGCCATGGCATGATACAGAATGAAAGCCCCTGCCAGATGCTAGCACCTTGACCTCCACTTCCCAGCTCCCAGATGGTGAGAAACAAGAAATATCCAGTCTCAGATATTTTGCTACAGGTAAACAGATGGAGACATTGTTGGTATTAACAGAAGTCCTCAAGTCATAAACAATGTAAACATACAGTACACAAACTAAGAAAAAGTTATCAGTGAAATCCTTTCTATTATTAAAAAAAGATGATTAAAAAAGTAATATCCCATTTTGGTGTGAGGTCAGGAAATTGGACATTCCTGTACAGGGCTTCTAGGGAGGTAAACTGAAACAAATTTTCAGGAAGGAAATTTAAAAAATTATGTCACAGAAACTGTTAAAATATTTTCACTCAATGGTTAAGAAGAAAAATTAAAAATTTTATAATGGGTATGATAGATCTATACTACTTCTGAGCCCTTGTTTATCAAATGGAAAATTTTCTCAATGTGAAAGGAAGAGAAAACCAGGTATATATCATATACAACAAGCATTCTTTTGCATGAAATATAGCTGCATAGAAAATACTGACATGATATGCATCAAAATATTGTGGTCAATAACGCTGCAGCCCCAGGGATGTAGGCGATGAGTAATCTATTTTATGCATTTCTTCATTAAGAAAATTAAATGTTAGCAAGCTTCTTATTAAAAATAAAAATCCATTTACAAATACTTTCCATTTACAAAATACTTCCATAAAGTTATCTGTTGTAGTTTTCCAAACGGCCCTTGGAAGCAAGCTTGGCAGGGATGTTCATTCCTGCTTTGCACATGAGGTCAGAGAGGCTTGGAGAGGAGGTTGGACCACCCAGTGAGCAGTTCAGGATACTGGGTGGAGACTCTGGGAAAAATGATGCGATGATTGGAAAGTTCTGATTGTTAAGTCCTGGCTCCAAAGAAAGCAGGAGGATCAGATGAGATGTATGGGTAAGTCGTGGCCTGATGCCTGGCTCATGGCAAACCTTCAACAAAAGCTAGTTCTTCCTTCCAGATGCTTCCATAGCACCAGGACCCTACCAGTCATGTGTCAGCTCCTTAACCCCTTGAACCTGTCCTGCTTGTTACCTAGAGAGATGCCTTGGGGACTTGGCTGGGGCCACTCTTCCCCTGGGGTCCCACCAGTTAGGAAGTTCCCTGCTTAGGTTGGGGGTCCCATGGTCCAGCCTTTACTCACTTCTTCCAGCCTCGTCCACATGTTCCAGGATGGCCCCAGAGAGGGCAAAGAGGCCTTGGAGTGAAGCGGAGGAGAAGTGTCCATCACACGCTTGAAGCAGCGCTTATCTGTGCAAAGAGGAAAAACAGCAAAGTCAGACCCTCCAGCTTACAGAATCTGAACACCTCTACAAACTCAGAATCATCACAACACAGGGATGAAGTGTCCACCCGCCTTGACTTATCCCTTGAGGAGAGAGGTGCCAACAGGAGAAATTGCTCCTGGGGTTCACACAAATCCATGCTGTAGTCTGGGCTGGCTGTCCTTCATATTCTCATCCACCTGAGCCAGGCTGCTGATCCTTCAATGGAACCGCCATTTGACCCAGCTATCTCATTCCTCAGCATGTAAGCAAAGGACTTAAAATGAGCATACCACAGTGACGTGGCCACATCGAAGTTTATAGCAGCCAAATTCACAATAGCTAAGCTATGGAACCAATCTAGGTGCCCTTCAACAGATGAGTAGATAAAGAAAATGTGGCACATATTCACAATGAAATATTACTCAGCCTTAAAGAAGAATGAAATTATGGCATTTGCCAGTAAATGAATGGACCTGAAACTATCATGCTATCCCCCCCAAACCCAAAGTCTGAATGTTCTCTCTGATATCCAGATGCTGACACACAAGGGGTGGGAGCAGGGAAGAACAGAGATTCACTGGATTAGACAAAGGGGAATGAAGGGAAGGAAGGGGGGATGGGAATAAGACGGTAGAATGCATCGGACATAACTTGCCTACGAGCATATTTGAATACATGACCAGCGAAACTCCACAAGATGTACAACCACAAAACAGGGAGTTGTACCCCATAAATGTATAATATGTCAAAATGCATTCTACTGTCATGTATTTAAAAAAACAAAACAAAAAACAAAAACCTGTGCTCTGCCGCCCCCTCCCTAGGTCCTCCCCCCAGCCCAGGCCCTCAGGGTGTCCCATATTCCTCTGTTCATCGTTTCTGCCACTAGATGGAGACCTTCAGGAGGGGATGGCTACCCTTTCTTTGCCCCTGTGACCAGATCAGATCTAAAATGGTAGCTGGAGCAATGCGGTTACTCAGTGAATGCCTTTTCAGTAAGTGAACAAAAGGTCATCATCATTATTTGCAAGATGATTCTTTCCTAAAAACGGCCATAGATTCATTTCTGGGAGCCAGGCCCTCAGGAACCCATGGGCCCCCTTTCCTTTCCCAGGTGCGTTTTGCTAAGGTTGGAGAACCCTGGATGCTGCCCTGCGTGCCCCAGGGGGAGGAGGCCAAGGCAAGGGAAGCTGGTCTTCCTCCTGGCGGGTGTGCCTTCTCGGCCGTGCCCCGGAGGTCCTCCGAGGCTGCTCAGCCAAGCTAAAATCCCAGCTTTGACTCCTCCCCTTCGCCATGCCACCCCCATCTCCCCTGCGTGGCCCACGCCCTGCCTGTCCACCTTCTGCCGTGCTCCCAGGGCTCAGGAAGGGCCTCATCGTGAGAGTGACAGCAGACAGTTGGGGGCTTTGTCTCGGCGCCAGGTCCTCTAGTGCAAGCTCAATGTCTCATTCATGAGATCTTCTACAAAACTGTCCTATTATTACAAAACCCGTGTTTGACAGAGAAAGGGACTTCCAGGTACGTGCTCAAGGTCACACAGCCGGGAAGCCAGGGAGGCAGGATCTTAACTGAGGGTTGTTTACTTCAGAACCTGCCCCCTTATCCCTGCGGGGTACAGCAGCGCAGACAGCCCCGCGTTACCTGCGTACTCGGACTCCTTGATAGGCCTGGCGGGCAGAATTTTCAACGATGGCCACACGTCCACCATCTGGAGCTCGGGGTCCTCATACTCATCCTCGCTGTGGTATTCTGTCACATCCGGGGCTGCAGCGAGTTTCCTTTCCTAGGTGGGCAGCAACATTCCAGGGAGTCAAAGGAAGGGACAAGGCTGGAAGGGGGCAGAGGCTGCAGAGCTGGCTGGGAGGGACAGGGATCCTTAGCTGCAACTTCACTGATACAAAGGCCTGGGGTCTTAGGTAGGAATTTAATTCTTGTGACAGGCAGAATTCTAAAGACGTCCCTCAAATATTCTTATCTCTGACTATTCAATCAAATACCTACCTGGGTACTTTCGTGAAGGGACAGAACAGATTAGTTAGCTGACTTTAAAACCAGGAGTTGATCCTGGGTTACTTGGGTGAGCCCCACGTCATTATGTGAGCACTTAAACGCAATGAGGACTCCGAATCCCTGATGTGATGATTTTCTATATATTAAAAAAATCCAAAAGGATTTACTAAAAATTATTGGAACTAATAAAGCATTCAGAAAGTTATCAGACTAAATGACCAATTGGATATAAAATCCCATGTATGTGTATAAATTAGCAATGACAATTTTTATCTCTATGAACTAGCAATAATGATTTAAAAATCAGAATTAATAAAAATGACCTTAACGATACCATCAAAAAGAATAAAATGCTTAAGAATAAATTTAGCAAAAGAAGTATAAAGCGTGTGCACTAAAATTTGCAAAAATGTTGTTGGAAGTTGGAAAGACACAGGACTTAATATTGCTAAGATAGGAAGACTGACATACAGATTCATCAAAGTCCCCACCAAAACCTCAGTGGCTTTCTCATGCACCAAGGGAGGGGCACGTGAGTCCACAGCAAGAGGGCAGCCATCTTCGACTCAATGGGAGAGCACACCAGTCCTTTGGCGCTTTGATTTTGGACTTCTGTTTTCCAGGACTGTGTGAAAATAACTTGTTCAAGCCACCAGTCTGTGGGATTTTGTTATGGAGGTCCAAGCAGACTAACATAGGCACATATCAAGGGCTCTGGGGCTGACAGCTGGCAATGGCAGGAATGGGTACCAGTCCTCAGTAGATGTCCTCACATGTAACGGTCATCATAGTAGCTATGCACTGGGGTCTGGAGCCAGCATGGTACCCTGTGTGAGCAGGGTCATGAATAAATTCTTGATTTCTTCCACCACCACAGAGTGACCCAGGGATCATTCATCCTCCCTGGATCTCAGAATGATCAACATTTCCCTAAAACCAGTTTTAGTCTTTATTTGTGCCTGAGAGAAGTTCAAGTGCCAAAGATGGGATTGAGCCCATCAATGCTGAAGTTTTGAAAGATCTAAACAGCATCAAACAAAGTCAAAAACACAGGAAGACAGAAACATCTAGTTTCATGCACATCCCCCAATTTGGTCCTCAGAATAAAGAAATTTTATCTTTCTTTTAAAACTATGGAACCTGGCGTTGGGGACTTGCTAAAGCTGCACAGGTCATAGGTGCCATTGCCGGGTAGAAACAGAACTTTTTTTTTTTTTTTTTACCATATCCATACTGGAACCCAGCAGAAATTTAAAATTGTT